CTTATTCAAAATTTGAGTTTTTCTTAAAAACATGCTAAAACGTCCAAAAAAAGCAAAAATAGTATGATTTTCGACCAAATTTTTATAAATTTCTGTACCCGTTTGAACAAAATTTTGCAAAAAAATTGCATTTCTGGCTAAAGAATTTTCTTAAACGCTTGAGAAAGTAAAAAAAAAAACATCATTTTCGATTTAATATTGTGATTTTTTATCTTGTCTTAATAAAGTCTTATTCAAAATGTGAGTTTTTCTTAAAAACATGTTAAAACGTTCGAAAAAGCAAAAATAGTATGATTTTCGACCAAATTTGACCATTTTTTTTTGGTCCAAACACAACAAACAAGTGTAACATGGATATTAAAAAGATTTTACCCAAAAAGGGTGAGTTGTATTGCAAAACGCAAGAGAGCACTTTTTGTAAATTTAGCATTTTTGTTTTTGAAAGTAACAAAAAACTTTAGTCAAAATAGTACTTTTTATCACAAACCACAAAATTTAGCCATAAAGGTAATCAACTGTACCAAATTTTGTAATTTTATCTAAAATCGTTTCTGAAATATTGGACAAAATCCATTAAAACATGCACCCCTTTCCTCCCTTACATAGTATTTTTCAATACATGTTCATAGGAAACTTTTATCTTGTCTAAATTTGTAACAATAAAAATGCAACACCCTGTATAAATAAATAGAAGTTACTTTCGCTGAAGTCTGCGTCTGGTGTAGGTGAATGATCGGGGAGGCGCACCCGATCCCGGTCCTTGAAGAACTGGAAGACCTTGTCGAGGGAGACTTTCACCTCCTTGAAGTACCCCTTGTCTTGGGCCTCCTGGAACGTGAGGAGGCTGCCAGTGCGGGTGAGGAGTCGGCCAGAAGGAGTGAACTTCAAGCCCTGCTCCTCGAGAAGTTCTACTTTTGTGTGATTTTTGCAATAAATTAATTATAGAACCTGAGAGTTTCACTTCTGATTGTTCCACACGCCACCCTGTAAGTTGGAGTTTCTCGTAGGTGTGCAAATTCTCCTCGTATTTGTCCACCAAGGGGGTGTATTTTTGGTTCATTGCCTCGATTTGGACGCGATATAGGGTGTCTCGCTTGAAGCTGAGGTCGGCTTTGAGCTCCTCGAATTTCAGTTGCATGAGGGCGATGTCTTCGTCGAGTTGGAAGATGATGGCTTCGGCTTGCTCTTGCAGCCCCTAAATATTACTTTGAATGTTTGTTTTTTATGAGGGGAGGGAAATTACGATTTTTTCCGTGTTGAAACCCCGGATTTTCTCGTCGAGTTGCTTCTCCAATTCGGTGATTTTCCGGTCGAGGTCGTTCAAGATGAGGCTCAACTCGGACCGATTTTCAATCGACGACAACAATCGGTTTCTCTCATCGGTCACGAAGCCGATTTTCTTCTTGAATTCGTGTGTGGCTTCGAAGATTTTAAAACTGATTATTTGCACCGTAATGTCGAGGTTTTCCACCACTTCCAGCTTCTGTTTGATGGTGAAGTCGATCTCGCCGAGGGTTTGCAAGAGTTTTTCGACGGCATTTCTGAAATTTACTTTGATTTTGCAATTTTTTTGCGCAAATTTATTACTCGTCGGCTGTTTTCATCAAATCCACGTCTTTGCCGGAATCCAGCGACATGAAGTGCTGCCGGGGCGACGTGGGAACGTCCAAATCCGAATCGGTCTTCTCTTCCATTTTTCACAAATTTGAATTACGCGCGTCAAGTGTGACACTGTTTCTATGGTTACTGGGGATTTCACGCCGTTGGGTTGGCAACACACGTTTTGAATTTTTGTCGTTACGTTTGTTGTGTTTGTGTTATAAGTGTGAAAAATGGAAAAAACAGACAATTTGGAGTGAGTTTTTCCTCTATCATCACACGAACGTGGTTTTTTATCATGGGTTTTGTTTTCAGGGAGGTGGAGGCGAGGAAACGTAGATCTTCAGTAAGTGTACTCACTATTAATAAAACCTCAAAAATGCATTCAACAAGCACATAAACGCACTTTGATTGAGTTTTAATCAAGTTAAAGTCAACTTTTTCCGAATTATTGCACAAAATAACTATCCCAAAGTCGGCTTTGACTTTTGACATTTTCATTCATTTTCTCTTTACTACAACTATTTTAATCAATATATTAATATTTTTCTTAATAATTAGAGAAAAGTCGCGGATTGTAACTACAATTATTAGAACAATTTGTATTTTTTTACAAAATGGAATTGTTTACATTTGGTGTATTGTTGGTTGCATAGTTCGGCTATGACATTTGGCGGGTTATTCAAATTTGGAATTTCAGATTTTGAAAGCGCGCAAATCACGGAACCCCCTTGAAGAAATCGATGCGAATGAGACCAGCCCCAACATGACCCCCACAAAACCCGTCCGTCGAGTCAGTTTTGCAAGCAGTAATTTTATAAAGTGAGTTTGAAATTGATTTTGTTCAAATTTGTCAAATTGAATTTTTTAGGCCTTTTGTAGCTGATCCGGATCAAAATACGATCTGGGATAATACAATCGAAGAAGACGTCAATCATACAAACTCAACTCAGTCCTCAGGGTGTAATAGTGGAATGGAATTGACAAGAAACGACAAGGGGGCTCACACAGTCCCTTCGTTGTTGAATACAACAATGTTGGATGAAAGTATGATGGAAATGACGTGTCATAGTGTCGCAAAAAAGTTCGAAAATCCTTTAATTTCGAATTGTGACGATGTTTTCGTTCAAGAAGATGAAATGGATTTGACTGGAGTATCAGATTGTGATGAAAAAAATGACAATCAAGAAATCAACACAAATGGAGGTGATATGGAATTCACTTGTCAAATTCCCGAATTGTCAAAAACTGTCAAAGATAAAAATCAAACCCTAAGGGAAGCTGTTGATATGGAATTCACTTCGCAAATTCCCAACATCAGTGGCGTAACTAAGGAATCCACCTGTCAAGTTCCAAAATTGTCAAATAGTGTCAATGTGTCAAAAAATGACGAAACAATGGAATTCACCTGTCAAGTTCCCACAAATTTCAAGTGTCAAATTCCAGGTACTGAAAAACCCCAAGTTTTTGACAAAGAAAATGTAATTATGAGTCATAGTCAAATTTCGATTATTAATTGCGGAATGTCCGAACAGTCAAAGAAACTGTCAAGTTCTGACACCGAAACTATGGAATTCACTTGTCAAATACCAAAATCGTCCAAGGTCACGAGTCTGTATGTCAATGTGTCAAAGATTGGCAATGATGACGAAACGACTGAATTCATCTGTCAAATTCCCACAACTACAATCAAAACCCCAAATGTCAAGTGTCAAATTCCAAGTTATGAAAAATCCGAATTCGTTGACAAAGAATATATCAATATCACAAGGCATAATGAAATGCCCGAACTGTCAAAGATTGACACGGAAACAATGGGTTACTCGTGTCAAATTCCTATAACTACCGACACAAAGGATGTCAAAACTGTGAATTTCAAGTGTCAAATTATTAGTACTGAAAATCCCAAAATAATTGACAAAGAAAATATCAATATCAGGCATAATGAAATGCCCGAAGTGTCTAAGTATGACAACAAAATTCGTACACCTCCCGTTACTGAAAAACTTGTCAAAATGAGGCATAGTCAAATTCCGATTGTCAATTGTAAAATGCCGCAACTGTCAAATACAGTCACCGAAACGATGGAATTTACTTGTCAAATACCCCAACACTTAAGTATTGACACCGAAGCAATGGAAATTTCCGTGAAGAATGATGTCGAAAGGCATAATGAAATGCCCGAACTGTCAAAGATTGACAACAAAATTTCTACACCTCTAAAAATGAATTTCACATGTCTGAATCCCGTTACTGAAAAACTTGTCAAAGAAAATACAGCCAAATTGAGGCATAGTCAAATTCCGATTGTCAATTGTGAAATGCCTCAACTATCAAATACTGTCACCGAAACGATGGAATTCACTTGTCAAATGCCCAAACATCTAAGTATTGACACTGAAGCAATGGAAACTTCCGTGAAGAATGATAATGAAATGCCCGAACTGTCAAAGATTGACAACAAGGCAACGGAAATTTTGTGTCAAATTTCTCCACCCCCAGAAATGAATTCCACATGTCAAATTCCAGAAAAACTTGTCAAAGAAAATGCAGTCAATCAAATTCCGATTGTTAATTGTAAAATGCCCCAATTGTCAAATTCTCTCACTGAAACTATGGAATTCACTTGTCAAATGCCCAAACTTCCAAGTTTTGACATCGAAGCAATGGAAACTTCCGAGAAAACTGTCAATGTCAATGAAATTATTGACAAAGAAAATTCAGTCAGGCATAGTCAAATTCCGATTGTTAATTGTAAAATGCCTCAATTGTCTAAGATTGACAAACTGTCTACTATGAAATATACTTGCCAGATGTCCAAACTCCCAAATACTGACACCGAAGTAGTAAAAACTTCTGAGAAGAATGATGTCAAAACTGTCAAGTGTCAAACTCCACGAACCCCAAATTTTGGCAAATTCGAAATGCCTGACAAGGAAAATATCGTCACTATGAGGCATAGTCAAATTCCGCTTGTCAATTGTGAAATACCTCAGCCGATTAACAACCTGTCACATGTTGAAGCTGTGAATTTCAAATGTCAAACACCGAAAACTCCAAAATTTGGGAAATACGAAATTATTGACAAAGAAAATACTATTAATATAAGGAATACTGAAGCTTCGATTGTCAATTGTGAAATGCCCGAATTGTCAAATAACGACACTGCAACTGTGGAATTCACCTGTCAATTGTCCAAACTGTCAATTCCCGAGATGAATTCAATGTGTCAAATTCCGAATGTTAGTTGTAAAATGCCCCAACTGCCAACTAATGACACCCAAACAATGGAATTCACTTGTCAAATACCGAAACTGTCAATGATTGACGAGTGTCGAAGTCCCACAATTGTCAAAACCACTGAATTGTCAAAAATTAACAAAAACGAAGACTGGAAGAATGTGTCAAAAGTTGTCCCTGAAACTCCCCAAAACACCACCTGTCAAAATTTGAAACAAAAAAATCAAACACCAAAACACGAATCGAGTTACTGTGAAGCTCCAGAGCCGTCTTTTCACATAAATCTAACAAACATCAGTTCAGAAGTGGACAATACGCAACATTTGCTCGATTATAAAATTTCCCATATGGAAAATTCAATGGTTTTGGATGATGTGTCATTGTTAGACGTGCATAAAAGTCGCCTAATGAACATCAACGATACCTACGTGTTGAAAAACAAGATGGCGACGAAATTTGACAGTGAGGATGACAGTTTAGGGGTTTTACCCGATGAGTGTTTCACCGAATTCGAGGACAACCATGAGGCGAAACAATACGATTTCGACATTTTTAGACACCCCAAATCAAAAAAATCCAAACTCGAGATTAAAACCTATCCGAATCTTGAGGAGTTGATTGATATTGCACGAAAACAGCGAGAATTCATCAAAGATTATTTGGAGAATTTCAAATTTCGCAAAATTAAAGTCGTGGATTTGTCGAAAAAGCCAACACCGGTGGCGGTGGAAACCCCCGAGGAAAAAGAAGAAGAAGAAATCAAGAAACACATCCCAACGATCAAAGAAACAGTCACAAAATACGAAGAAAGCGCACAAAAATGCTGGAAATTGGAGTCGATCAAAGATGACATTTATCACATTTCGACACTCTTCGCTTCGCTTGTTCTAAACGTGCAATTAGACGTTGGGTCAGGAGTGGTCCTTAATATTGAGATTTCCACGAGATTGCAAAACGACTCCAAACCCATTGATCACTTTATTGTAAATTATTTCATTGAGAAATTGAAAGATAATCATTTAGTGTCAGCTTTGGGACGAAATTATGACATTTTATCGCTTCTTGATTACGTCAAAATGACAGTTTTGAAAATTCGGAGTTTTCTCGATGAGTTTCAATCGATCGAATGGATGATTTTTAATCGTGATTTTGTGTAAGTTTTTGCCATGTTTGTCGTTTGTTTTTATCGTTTTTTTCTCTAGGGCGACTTATAAAATAATGGAAGTGGATTTGGAACTGATGGCTGACGTTATGGTGGACATGAGCGATGTCGATAACATAGATTTCGATAAAAATGTAACAATTGTAGAGAAAATTGGGAGTGTGAATCGGCAAGAGTTGCTCGATTTTGCCAAAACTTGCCCCAAAGGACTCGCTTTTTTCAAGGGTTTTTCAGAATGTATTGAAAAATATGTGAAGGTTAAGGAGAAGCGAAAATGTTTTACTAAACGGTATCAATAAGTTTTGTGCTAGTTTGTAAGTATTTTGTTGAATAATTTACTATTTTTTACGTGCGAACATTTTATTTCCCCATTCACACGAAATTGGGAAAATGTGGCAACGTCGCAACAACTTTTGGGTTATTTAAATCTTGTTAAAAGTGTGACACGTTTAATTGACTGTAATGTTTGATTGTTTTAAAACAAGATTAAGGTTTTTTGTTGTTTTCGGGGGGATGTGAAGAATTTTTGTGCAATTGTCACACTTTTGCGCAGTTGCCAGATTTCAAAATTGTCCTCGAATCAAACCCCAACTCTTTTAAAATCTTTATTTATGACATTGATAAATAAATTTCTTCATACATTCGCCGCACTAAATTCTCGACTGTTGAAACACCAACGATTTTAATTCAGGGAATGTTAAGCAAAAATATTGAAAATCCTTTGTAAAAATATGCTCTAAATCTAGGAAATTTCATTTCGATTTGAATGGAACAACTTTATGATCGGTATCTCCCCAGTTTTTGTGTACTTCGACATTACACTCGCCACAGTACAAATCCCCCCCACAATCGTAACACCGAAATTTGGCATCGTTGTTACACAAAACGCACCACGGAAGTTCCGGTGACGCTCGTCCATCATTCTCTTCGTCATTGGACGAACTTGGAGTGAGTTTTTTGGGGCAACGCTCCTCAATCGCCACCTCATCCATAATCTAAAATAGTGGGCGTGGCTGAATGAGAAGAGCAAGGGGCGTGGCGTTACCTTTTTCGTGATTTTATCCACTTCCTCCTCGCTGCTGGAATCGTGTAAATTACTGATGTATGGTCCCTCGTTTGGCTTCACGCCTTGCCCCCTTAGGGTCGCCAGACGTGCCTCGATCTCCTCCTGGGGGTTATGCGCCAACTCGATGTCCCTCTCATTCACAAACTGCTCAAGAAGCGAGTCGGCTTTCTGCTGCTCCGTCCTCGAATCAACCGGAAACAACTGAAACCGAAAAATTGGAATAAAACAAAAATTGGGGTAATCACAAGTCGGCTGGGCCCCTCCACGTAGTCGTTCTCCCCCTTGAGGCTCGCCAAGCGCCGTCGCAACTCGCCCTCGCTGGGCGGGGGGCCCTTCTCAGAGTCCTTGAGTTTCTCCAATCGGTCGAGGATTTTCTGGTCCGCGGGGGAGAGGCCACTCCGCAGGGCTTGGATTTTCGGGTCGTGTTTGTACATTGTGATGGGGGGCGCCACAGGGTTCTCGAGGTTCTCCAATCGTCTACAAAAGTAATCACAATTGAGGAAATTTTGCAATGGGGTACCTGAGACACGTCAGAATGATGAACCAAGGGAGGGGGTGCTCGGGACTGCAAGGATTTGGTCATTTGCGGTTTTACTAACGAAAATTTACTTTATGAATGTGTCGGGGGGCGCGATTTGGGGCAGGGGGGCGCTTGTCCCTGATGCCAGTTTCGAGTAGCATAATTTGCAAACGTTGAATTCGCCTGTGCCCCGATTGGGGATTTTGCATTTTTGCTTCAGACATTTATTGCAAAAGGAGAGTCCGCAATTTGAACAGCCCATCTGAAAAAAAAATTTTGGTTAAAGTTTTGAAACGGAATTTCACAATAAACGCACTTCCTTGTGGAAAAAATTAAATTTTGTATTGCAGTGATTGCAAGACATAATAGAATTAAAGAGGATTTTTAGAAATTTAGGTTTTTGTAACTTAACCAATTAACTTGACATTGACACTTGTGACAGTTGGATTGATTGGGGAAGTGGCTAGAGCGACGTCACGGAAAATTTTATTTTTTAACCCAAATTTTGTGAAAAACAAATTAATTAAGTTTATTTATTGAAAAAATTACGAATGAGCCATAATCAAGACTTAGTTTCTTCTAAATTAGCAGTTTTTTAATTAATTAATATATGAAAGTGGCTAAAGTGACGTCACTAAAAAATTCCATTTTTACCTTTTTACCCAAATTTTGCAAAAACGCCTAATTTGAGTGATACAGTAACTAATTACCGACTAATCAGTCGAAACAGTGACGTAGTTTGACCCTCAATTAGCAATTTCTTAATTAATTTATTTATGGAAGTGGCTAGAGTGACGTTGCTGGAAAATTCCATTTTTAACCAACATTATGCAAAAAACGTTTGATTTGAGCGCATTTAATGACACAATAACTAATTAGCGGGAACTATGACGTAATTTTAAGTAAATTAAGAATTTTTTAAGTAATGGAAGTGGCTAGAGTGACGTTATGGAAAAATTCTATTTTTTACCCAAATTTTGCAAAAAAACAAATAATTTGAGTGTATTTATTGACACGACCATTAATTAGCCTAAGCTGTGACAAAGTTTACCCCAAATTAGCAATTTTTAATTAATTTAAATGTGGAAGTGGCTAGAGTGGCGACACTGAAAAATGCGTTTTTTTTTAATCCAAATTTTGAGAAAAACGCCCAGTTTGAGTACATTTATTAACACAATAAAAAATCAACCACAATTGTGAACTAATTTTGGCTGAATTAGTAATTTTTTAATTGAAATATTTCTGGAAGTGGCTTAACCGAAGTAACTAGGAAATTTAATTTTTTTTTCCAAATTTTGTGAAAAACAAATTATTTGAGTGTATTTATTGACCAAGTCATTAATTAGCTCATGCCGGGGCGTAATTTACCCCAAATTAGCATTTTTTTAATAATTTATACATGGAAGTGGCTGGAGTCACGTCACTAAAAAATCCAATTTTTTACCCAAAATTTGCGAGAAATGCTTAATTTGAGGCAATTATTAACAAAAATGAGTAAATGTACGGAGCTGTGACGTAAATAATTGTATTAATAATTTTTTTAATTAAATTGCCTGTGGAAGTGACTAGAGCGACGTTACTGACATAATAATTTTTATTTTTTTTCCCTGAAATTTTGTTAAAAAATGACTCATTTGAGTGTGTTTATTAACAAAATCACTAATTAGGCAAAACCGCGACGTATTTTACCCTAAATTAGCAATTTTTGACTAAAATTCTTTGATTTTATTATCGCTAATAGATGTCGCCGAAAGTGACAAGTGACATTTGACATATGACGTGGATCTTGAAATGTGTAGCAAAAGTAGAATGTTTTAAACGCTTAAAATAAATTAAAACAGTACAAGTGACGTGATTTTTGTGTTTGTCTTTACTTGGCGTCGCCCCTTTTACGGTAAGTATATCCAAATTGTGAAAAAAAACAGTAACAAGGGGGCTGTTTCAGATGGCCACATACGAGGAGTACATCCAGCAGAACGAAGACCGCGACGGCATCCGTTTCACTTGGAACGTGTGGCCCTCGAGTCGCATCGAAGCCACTCGTCTGGTGGTCCCCCTTGGGTGTCTCTACCAGCCTCTCAAGGAGCGCCAAGACTTGCCCCCCATTCAATACGACCCGGTTTTGTGCACCCGCAATAACTGTCGCGCGATTTTGAACCCTTTGTGTCAAGTTGACTATCGGGCGAAGCTCTGGGTTTGCAATTTTTGTTTCCAACGAAATCCGGTAATTAATTTTTTTGAATTTAATTAATTAATTACAATTAATTTGAAGTTCCCCCCACAATATGCGGCCATTTCCGAGCAACACCAACCGGCCGAACTCATGCCAATGTTCTCCACAATTGAGTACACCATAACTCGGGCCCAATGCCTGCCCCCCATTTACCTCCTAGTCGTGGACACTTGCATGGACGAGGAGGAATTGGGGGCCTTGAAAGACTCCCTCCAGATGTCTCTAAGTCTCCTCCCTCCGACATCCCTCATCGGGCTCATAACCTTCGGAAAAATGGTCCAAGTGCACGAACTTGGCACTGAGGGCTGTAGCAAATCGTACGTTTTTCGCGGAACGAAAGACTTGACAGCTAAGCAAATACAAGAAATGCTCGGGATTGGGAAAGTCGCCGTTGCGCAGCCCCAACGAGGGGCCCCGCAAGCCCCCATACCGCCCGCAAGCCGGTTTCTTCAGCCCGTTTCCAAATGCGATATGAGTCTCACCGACTTGATTGGGGAGCTCCAAAGGGACCCCTGGCCTGTGGGTCAAGGCAAACGTCCTTTGAGATCAACAGGGGCTGCCTTGTCTATAGCAATAGGGCTTCTCGAATGCACCTATGCCAATACTGGGGCGCGTGTTATGATGTTTCTAGGGGGGCCCTGTTCGCAAGGACCGGGTCAAGTGGTCAACGATGATTTGAAACAACCAATAAGGTCGCATCATGATATTCATAAAGACAATGCAAAGTATATGAAAAAGGCTATTAAGCATTATGAGGGGCTAGCAATGAGGGCTGCCACCAATGGGCATTGTGTTGATATTTATTCCTGTGCTTTGGATCAAACTGGGTTAATGGAAATGAAACAGTGTTGCAATTCAACAGGGTTGGTTTTGGTGTTTTTTTTTTAAATTTTTTGGTGATTTTTCGTTTTAGGGGTCACATGGTGATGGGGGATTCCTTCAATTCGTCGCTTTTTAAACAAACTTTTCAAAGGGTTTTTGCAAGGAATGCCAAGAATGACCTCAAAATGGCCTTTAATGCTACGTTGGAAGTCAAATGCTCGAGGGAACTCAAAGGTGATTTATTGCCAACCTAACTCAGAAATTTCACTAAACACACTAGTTATGAAATTAATGTGGTTTTTTTTTTTTAGTTCAAGGGGGTATAGGGTCTTGTGTGTCTCTCAATGTGAAAAGCCCCCTTGTGTCGGACACCGAAATCGGTATGGGTAACACAGTCCAATGGAAAATGTGCACTTTGACACCGAGTTCAACAATTGCCCTGTTTTTTGAAGTGGTCAATCAACATTCGGCCCCCATACCGCAAGGTGGACGTGGATGCATCCAATTCATAACACAATATCAAGTAATATAAAAATTTAGCGAGTGCGACAATTCAAATTATTCAATCACCGGTTAACATATCGATTTGTAAAAAAATGGGTTTTTCATAGCATCAACAAAAACTGTTATTAACAGTGAAGAATCAAGAAAAAAATTAAATAATCATTTTTTTCTTTTTAATTTGAGAAAAATGTGTCAGAATCTTATTAAAAAAAGCTCGTTTTCAATGTCTTTCTAAAAACTTTTTACGTATAAATGGACAAAAAACTAGCGAAAACTAACTTGGATAACATAAAAAAAAACTAAACAAAGATAAAAATTCTGAAATTATGAAAAATCAAATTAATTTTTTACATACAATATTTTTTCGAAATTGCCACTAAAGCCATTTTTAAACTCATTTTGTTTTAAAAATAGATTTGCGTTTTGAAATAATTGTCAAAAATGGTTAGTTTTTGGAAAATTTAAGTAAATTGAATTTTTCTTCAGAGAAGAAATAAGAAGAAATAAAAAAATGTTTGTTTTAACTCATTTTTTCAACAAGTAAAAGAACATTCAAGTTGTTAAAAAAAACGATAATTTTTTGCAAATTCCGATTTCTGGGGTTATTTTACATGAGATTTTTTTCTTTTTCGAAAATTTTAGGGTAAAATTGAGTAAATTTACATTTTTTTATATATTTTTAAAATAATTAGTTGTATCGCGATGTATCGATTTAATTCATCGGCCCATTTTACATTGGGAAAGTCATTTTTTTTTTAAATTTCATAAAAAGTCTTAGGAAAAATTTTTGTTTTGACTCATTTTTTTAAACCAACTTGTAACTTTCAAAAAAGTGGTAATTTTTTTTTGCAAATACCGATTTCTGGGATTATTTTGAAAGGGAATTGTCTTTTTTTTTTCGAAAATTTTAGACTCAAATCTTGACCAAAATTGGGGAAATTTTTAAATGAAACACATTTTTGGTTATATTTTTAAAACGGTTAGTTGTATCGCGATAATTCTTTCAGATTCCGATTCAGCGGCCCATTTTACATCGGGAAAGTCATATTTTTGAAAAATTTCAAAAAATGTCTTAGAGAAAAATGTTTTTTTTGACTCATTTTTTTTAACCAACAAGATATTTGTCTATAACTTTTAAGATGTTCTAAAAGGTAATTTTTTTGCAAATTCCGATTTCTGTGATCATTTTACAATGTTTTTTTTTTTGGAAAATTTTAGACTAAAATTTTGAAATGACAAACCAAAATTTGATACTTACATTTTTAAAGAAACACATTTTTGGCTATATTTTTAAAATGGTTTGTTGTATTGCAATAATTCCAGATTTCGATTCAGCGGCCCATTTTACATCGGGAAAGTCATATTTTTGAAAAATTTCATAAAAAGTTTTAGAAAAAATTTTTTTCACTCATTTTTTTAAACCAACAAGATG